TAGACTGAAATGTAGCTTCTAGTTTCCCCAGCATATTGGCTATGTCCTGCTTAGATGGTAGATTTTGTAGTATACCTTTCAGGTCTGGGTCTTGTAGTACCAGGGAGCCTGTAGATTCCGCTGGGCTAGAGGGAGGGGAAGTAGTGCCTGGCGAGTCCGGCGCCATATTGGGGCCTACCATGCTTTCGTGAGCCTCCTTGGAATCCCTGAAATATTTCGTCAGGGCTCCGGTTTTTGCTGCCACTGACCTCCCTGTCGTTCTCTGGGATGAGGGCGTGCGTTTGGGGTGTCCCATGTTTAAATGATAGCCAGATGTCCGCGGATTGAGTGCCTTTCTCGCCGGAGCTCTGCTACTGTGCTGCCATTCCGGTCGGCAGTTGGCTCCGCCCCCCACGTGTATCGTGTCTCTGTATGTATGTGTGTCTGTGTGTATGTCCCACCTGTGTGCAGCCCCTTCCCCCGTGTGTGGGAAAATCTCATCCCCCCCACTCTGTGAAACCCCTTCCCCCTGTGTGCCGACGTGCCGCCATTTCCCCCTTGTGTGCAGCAATGCAACCCCTTCCCACTTCTGTGCAACCCCCTTCCCCCTGTGTGCAGCCATTTCCCTTCTGTGTGCCGAATTGCAACTCCCACCCAACCCCCCTGTGCAACCCTCTTACCCCTTGTGGCAGAACCACTGTCTATTCTGGTGCTTTCTACTTATACTGTGTTTTTTTCCCTTGCCCTTCTTCTATTGTACCCGCTCCCCATTTGGGAGCACTCTTATGAAAGGAACTCCTTCGACTCCCGAACGAGGACCACCCCGATATCACATTTAGAATGCTAGTAGAACATTCAAGTAGAACGGTTTCACCTCTAGCGTAGTTGTGAAACCTCAAGGGAAGCAATTAATGAGTGCTCCTGTGGGTGGCCACCGCTTTGTATAGACGAACGCTGATATATAACATGATGTTACTGAAACTGGCATTTTGTGCTTAATAGCAAAGTACTGACTATAGCATTTCAAACTACAAAAACTATTTTTAATTAAAGACTGGAGGCTTTGTAAAATATCAAGTTCCATTAGAAATACAGATGTATATAGAAACAGATCTTTGATCCAGACATTCTTGTTTAAGAATTTTACCTTTTTTCCTGGACACAAATCTAATTAAATATTGCCTGTCTTACATAAAAAAACAACTTAGAAATGTAGCAGATATACAGTTGAAAGAAAAAGTATGTGAACCCTTTGGAATGATCTGCACAAATTGGTCATAAAATGTGATCTGATCATCATCTAAGTTACAACAGTAGACAATCACAGTCTGCTTAAACTAATAACACACAAAGAATGAAATGTTGCCATTTGAAATGTTGCATGAAATGTTGCCAAAAGTATGTGAACCCTTGGATTTAATAACTGGTTGAAGCTCCTTTGGCAGCATAAACTTCAACCAAACATTTCCTGTAGTTGCAGATCAGACGTGCACAACGGTCAGGAGTAATTCTTGACCATTCCTCTTTACAGAACTGTTTCAGTTCAGCAATATTCTTGGGATGTCTGGTGTGAATCGCTTTCTTGAGGTCATGCCAAAGCATCTCAATCGGGTTGAGGTCAGGACTCTGACTGGGCCACTTCAGAAGGCGTATTTTCTTCTGTTTAAGCAATTCTGTTGTTGATTTACTTCTATGCTTTGGGTCATTGTCCTGTTACAACACCCATCTTCTGTTGAGCTTCAGCTGGTAGACAGATGGCCTTAAGTTCTCCTGCAAAATGTCTTGATAAACTTGGGAATTAATTTTTCCTTCGATGATAGCAATCTGTCCAGGCCTTGACGCAGCATAGCAGCCCCAAACCATGATGCCCCCACCACCATACTTCACAGTTGGGATGAGGTTTTGATGTTGGTGTGCTGTGCCTTTTTTTCGCCACACATGGTGTTGTGTGTTTCTTCCAAACAACTCAACTTTGGTTTCATCTGTCCACAGAATATTTTGCCAGTACTGCTGTGGAACATTCAGGTGCTCTTGTGCAAACTGTAAACGTGCAGCAATGTTTTGTTTGGACAGCAGTGGCTTCCTCTGTGGTATTCTCCCATGAAATCCATTCTTGTTTAGTGTTTTACATATTGTAGATTCGCTAACAGGGATGTTAGCATTTGCCAGTGACTTTTGTAAGTCTTTAGCCGACACTCTAGGATTCTTCTTCACCTCATTGAGCAGTCTGCGCTGTGCTCTTGCAGTCATCTTTACAGGACGGCCACTCCTAGGGAGAGTAGCAGCAGTGCTGAACTTTCTCCATTTATAGACCATTTGTCTTACCGTGGACTGATGAACAGCTTTTGGAGATATTTTTATAACCCTTTCCAGCTTTATGCAAGTCAACAATTCTTAATCGTAGGTCTTCTGAGAGCTCTTTTGTGCGAGGCATCATTCACATCAGGCAATGCTTCTTGTGAAAAGGAAACCCAGAACTGGTGTGTGTTTTTTATAGGGCAGGGCAGCTGTAACCAACACCTCCAATCTCATCTCATTGATTGGACTCCAGTTGGCTGACATCTCACTCCAATTAGCTCTTGGAAATGTCATTAGTCTAGGGGTTCACATACTTTTTCCACCTGCACTGTGAATGTTTACATGGTGTGTTCAATAAAAACATGGCAACATTTCATTCTTTGTGTGTTATTAGTTTAAGCAGACTGTGATTGTCTATTGTTGTGACTTAGATGATGCAGAAATCCATATCATTCCAAAGGGTTCACATACTTTTTCTTGCAACTGTAACTACTTGTACATATGAAAATAGATCATTACTGATGTGTCAATGTATGCTAGTTCTTTCTTTTCAAATAAAATTAAGCTTTCAAAGCAAAAATAGCAAGAATATTGTATCAAGTCTTAATTAATGACCCCCTCAAGATCCCTGTATTATGATAGCCCCTACAAATTCTGTGAAAGCTTTGTCTGCATTACTAGTTTTCTACAGGAGGATTCAATTATAGAGGGAAATTGAAAAAGCCATATACCATGTTATTTGCTTAAGAACTATTTACAAAATACAGATTAAGGAACAGCACACAAAAAATACAGCATTAACCCCTTAAGGACCAAACTTCTGGAATAAAAGGGGAATCATGACATGTCACACATGTCATGTGTCCTTAAGGGGTTAAATCTTACAATGTAACTTAAATTCACAAATCTTATCAAATATGGGATTTGGTTACACGATATGGCCACACCATTTTCAACCCGCCACTATGCCACATCACTCTATATGGTGATAAGAGATAAACATGATAACTGCAATACTTACTGCTTAAACGTCTTCCAGAGACTCTCCTGGTGGTTTTAACATGACATGGCAAATGGTGTTCGAAAATTCTCATATTTATTTGCTATGATAAGTTATTTTAAGTAACCTTGTGATATTTGAAAGTGTATTTTTTTGTGTTTGTTGTTCCTTAATTTGTATTTTGTATATATTTTGGTCTTCACAGCAGCACCACTGCAAACAAATGCATGTTCTGGGTGTAAACCCAAATTCCCTGTTTTGCTGAAGAATTGCTGTGAAATGGCTAAATGCTATGGATACATCTTAGTGGCAGAACTACTGCCGATGCAGCTGGAGCGCTGCATTGTGGCCCACACGCACAAGGGATCATTGGGTGGCCCATGAACTTAGGGCCACGTGATGAGTATTGCTGAACAGGAGAATGGTCTTGCGATGCATCCAATTAAGAGTGCGACCGACTCCTGTAGTATTGGCCTGCTTGGACAAAGTGACAGCTGGTCACTTCCTCCCAGCTGTAAGGAGAGATTCCGCACAGGAGGTAGGAGGCTGTCTGGGCAGCATGGGGAGAGAGGAGAAAGACGAAAGAGCTGTTCCAGACCTCACACTCCCATCAACCTCAGACAGCACCCCAATGAAGTCCCTCTTCTGCACACAGAAGGCATGTTAACAGGATAGTGGCTCAAATATAAAACTTATGACATGCATTTTTGTGTCAGCTTCTGTGTGTAAGTATTTATATGGCAGTCTGTGCATGTGTCATAATGTGTATATATGGTGGTGTGTGTGTCTGTGTGTCAGTGTGTGTATGTGTCAGTGTATTTGAGTGTCTGTATGTATCTGTGCATCAGGGTGTGTATACGTGTGTCAGCTTCTGTGTGGCATTATGTATACAGCAGTCGGTATAGGTGTTAGGGTGTATATGGCAGTGTGTGTATCTTTATGCAATGGTGTGTGTATGTTCCAGTGTGAGTATTTGAATGTGATTGTGTCTGTGTGGATCTGTGCGTCAGGGTGTATGTATGTGTCAGGGTGTGTATCTAAGTGTGATCGTATGTGTCAGTGTGGAAATCTGTGTGTCAGGCTGTGTATCTCAGTATGCTTGTATGTGTTAGTGTGCGTATCTGTGTGTCAGGGTGTGATTGTATGTGTCAGTGTGTATATCTGTGTGTCACTGTGTATGTGTCAGCGTGTGTTTCTTTGTGTCACTGTGTATATCTCAGTGTGTATATCTTAGTGTCAACATTATATAGCAACACACCCCTGCATTCAAATTTCAAAATGATATACAACACACCCCTGCAATCAAATGCAAACACTATACATAAGTGCACCATTGCATTTTAAATGCACACACATGCTCTATACAAAAATCATGCTTACATTCAAACACACAAACACTGCTCACAAATACAACCCGGCAAGGATGGGAAAATGGTAGATCCTGAGGGGCAAAGCATTGTGGGAGTTGTACGAAGATCCACCTTTTGGCTACTCTTGCACTAGAGGGGGGCCCAAAAGGACTTCATGCACCTCGGTCCTCTCAACATTAGTTCTGCCACTGATACATCTATTAATGAACGATTTGTTAACACAAAGATAGCATATTGGATAGTTCTTTTCCAGTACAATAACATGTCTGTGCATCACTGATCCACTGTGATATCACAAATAGTGATGTCGCGAACCGTTCGCGAACTTGCCGCGAACGGTTCGCCACTCCGGTCAGCTGACACATCCCTGCCAATCTCCAGCAGACCCTCCCTCCCAGACCCTCCCACCTCCTGAACAGCATCCATGTTGAAGCTGCCTTCAACATGGATGCTGTCCAGGAAGTAGGAGGGTCTGGGAGGGAGGGTCTGCCGGAGATTGGCAGGGATGTGTCAGCTGACCGGAGTTCGCTGCGAACCGCGGCAAACCGTTCGCGGCAAGTTCGCGAACGGTTCGCGACATCACTAATCACAAACAAGGCAGACTGAATCTGAACTTACATATGTGCTCTGCGAAGAGGACAATTCAATGTTTGTTTAAAATTATCTGACGGTAAATATTATTTATTTGAATCTGCCAGTTTTACAGTAGTAAAATTTAGTTATTAAAGTCAAATGCTCTGGCAGTTAGAATTCTCCAAAACCACACTTTAAATACGAATTCTAAACAATCTGACATCTACTGCACAGAAGATTTGTGTGTCAAAATAGTTAAATATCTATTTATTTATTTAAAAATATATCCCATTATAGTTATTTAAATTTTCCAATTTAACACACATGCACTTTACTATTGAGTTGTTTTTTTTCTTTGATACTTGTAACATTACATTGTTAAAGGAGATATGACATGCACAAATGGAGACGTGGATGTTGTAGCAGTAATGGTTTATGATGTTTTCTTACATTTCTGCATCAAATAATTGAGGTAGCTTTCTATGGTAGGTGATTGCAGAAGACTCTGCTATTGACCTTTGGAAGATATTTATAAAAGATAATATTCTAAAAAGTGGTGCAAAAATGCAGAAAAGGAGGAGTCACCAATAGTATATGCCTGCTGGTTCAACTAGTTTATTTGTTGATTGCAATACTTTTATTACTTTAGACTACTTTTTAGATGAGACCACTTAAATAAGTTGACCCCATTGTCATCTTTGATTAATTTTTCCATGATCAGCTAGTAATCATTCGTCACTAGTACACCAGCAATGCAAGCATATTCTGGTATATATAGCAAGATATCCTGTCAAAATATTTATCAGTTATAATACTTAGACATTAAGATTAAAGAATCAAAACAGACTAAGCAATTCTTTTAGAAAACAGAGATTTTGAATACATTTAACTGTAGGTTCCCAAACAAGGAATTGACCAGGCATTCTAATCAGTTAAAGTTAATCTATACTTTGCTAGTTTCTGCAAAAGACACTGAAAACACCTCAGCAGAAAATGTTATTTTATTAGAAATATTCTAGACTGTCACTCTTTGCATCAGTAACATCTCAATGTAGATCCCAAGAGATGTGTGACAGCAGAAAGATCTTATTGTGCACGTGCAAGAGTTGTCACTGGCAACTACTGACTATAACGTCAGCTTTCATTGATTGAGGGCTGATGTAAAAGGGAATATATTGCAGTTGCAATATAGCTTGATCCATCAGGAGTAGAAAATGTTCTACTTTTAAAGGGTTCCGCTAACCAAAAAAACAGTGTTTGATAAACCACTGTTTTCGTATCTCTTCTTATCCTGGACTCCAAAAATTAAAAAAAACTTAAAGGACCACTCTAGGCACCCAGACCACTTCAGCTTAATGAAGTGGTCTGGGTGCCAGGTCCTTCTAGGGTTAACCCATTTTTTTATAAACATAGCCGTTTCAGAGAAACGGCTATGTTTATTAATGGGTTAAGCCTTCTCCCTAATCCTCTAGTGGCTGTCTCATTGACAGCCACTAGAGGCGCTTGCGTGCTTTCACTGTGATTTTCACAGTGAGAGCATGCAAGGGTCCATAGGAAAGCATTCTAAATGCTTTCCTATGCGACGGGCTGAATGCGCGCGCAGCTCTTGCCGCGCGTGCGCATTCAGCCGGCGGGGAGGAGAGAAGGAGGATCGGAGGAGAGAGCTCCCCGCCCAGCGCTGGAAAAAGGTAAGTTTTTACCCCTTTCCCCTTCCAGAGCCGGGCGGGAGGGGGTCCCTGAGGGTGGGGGCACCCTCAGGGCACTATAGTGCCAGGAAAACGAGTATGTTTTCCTGGCACTATAGTGGTCCTTTAATTGACTTACCTCTGCTCCAGCAATGAGGTCAAGTTTTCACAGTCGCCTGATGCTTGTATGCTGCATTCACTCCCTCTTGCTGCAGGGGGAGGTGTATCAGGGATGATAGGTTTAGGTGTGGATTTGGGCAGCACGGAGGGGGCATGCCTCTGTTGGACTACTATAGCCAGCATGATATGCGTCCTGACAAAAGGTGTGCTTATAATTTACATCAGCTAGCCCAGAAATTTAATAATGCTTCAATGGCACTGCCCAAGGTGGAGTTAAAGCCCTGTATGTGTAGAGTTTCATAGTGAAACACTAAACCAGTAGATTCCAAACACCAGGACTTCTTTAAATCAATGACTTGGTCGGTGTGCTTGAAGTAAGCCTATAAGTATAAAGTTCTTCGTGCATATAATAGATTGTCTTTAAAATAATTCCTATTTATTGAAAACCGGCAAGTGACAGGTCTGCTACAAAACTACAGTATCAACGGTATTGCCTCATTGTAATAATAAAACTGGATGCAATAGAGTTGTCACTGGAGTTCATTATTCAATAGACCTTTTTTACATTGTCTAAGGGAAATTGGTCTATAAAATGTACTGGGGTCTCCAGATCTGAGGATGCCACCCTCACTTATTTTTCTCTTTTTTTTAGACTGTATAAAGGGGGATTACTGGTGGCTCTCCAATATCTCTCTGCCAACCAGATGACAACAGATGCAAGTCCTCTACCCTCACCCGATAATGTGTGTTAGTAGTAATTAAGAATATGACCTAGGACATGGGTAGGCAACCTGTGGCACATGTGCCATGGACGGCACTCGACGTGTCTTTGCACAGCACTCAAGGTTGCCCGAGCCAAACAGGCTTTGACCTATCAGGAGTCCCAGTGAAACTTCAGATATAAGAAAATGTGGTGAAGGAAAATGTGGTGAATTTATGCATTGCAGCACTTGTGAATCCACACTGGAGTAAACACTGGAGTAAAGGAGCGAGTCCACGGCTGATGTTTCAGCTCCTGTCCTTGACCTTTATCTGGCCAGCCTACTCCCCACTAGAACCCAAGTAATCCATCAACACTGATAGATATACACAGAGATGCAGAATAACCCTCCCCTCACACAAATAATACCAACAGCCCACACACAAACATACACACAATCCGCACAAACTCAACACCACTAACAATTCACATATATGCACACAACCCTACATGCAGCCTCTCACATGCAATATGGCAGACACATACACACACTACCAAACACACAATGTTACATATCCATCCACACACAATTCCACAAGCAGCCCTCATACATTGCCAACATTCATAGTTACACAATACCACAAACTACTCATGGACATTTGCTATGGGACATCAGAATCTTATTTCGGCACAGTGCTGCTAAAAGGTTACCTACCCCTAACCTAGAACCTTCTTTTATTCCCTTATCCATGTCTGTGGGATGAACACTACATTTAATTGTTAGGTTATTCTTTAAGACGTTCTAGTAGCAAATAGGGGAACCAGCTGCGGTTACATAATTAATTGCCAACTGGATCAAAAATCTCCAAGTCCACAAGCAGCATGGCTTCTACTGAATTAAAATGTGAGAGACAGTTACAAAGTTACTGTGTTATAAAGACGTGGAATCCGCTCTTAACTCCATTATATAAGCCTGCAAAGTCCTGGTCATTTGCAAGGTTAAAGCAGCTAGTGCCTTACTAGATAGACCGACTCTTATTGAATAAAGCCAACACCCAGACCATTATGTCACCTGCACATTCACCATGATGCTATTGATTAGAGCTTTCAAGTTATTTCAATTTACTGTGGTTTTCGACTGATACCTGGCATGCTACCATTTTAGATGCAGTAGCTTTATTGCGGTTCTCAAAGCAATTATCTTAATACTGGCCCCTAATCCATACCAAGCATACCGCATGCACACTTTGTGTGGTTAATGAATGTCATAAGGGCAAGTAACTCAATCTTTCACTGGAGAAATTAAATATAGGAATACAATATACTCGGACAGACAATAAAGAGACAAGACAGTGCTGTTGACTTTTCTTGCACTGGTAATTTAAACCACAATTATAAACAATTTCTATTTCAGCATTACAATGCTTGTCACAGACTGACAAGTCTTTGATTTATGGTACTCAATAGGTAATAAAAAGCAATGCAATCCTCTCTTGAAAATTGAATATTTAATGTGTCTTTAGTGATGGCAAGTGGCTCAACACTTTAACTCTTTAAATGACCACTCTCTCAATGAAGTGGTCTGGGGACAGTGATCATGTTGTTTTAACCCTGCAATGTAAAACAATGTTTGCATTGCAGAATTAACATACCTCTAGTTGCTGTCAGCATTTGTTTGGCTAAGTGCAGCCATATAAATTACAGGAACCATGAACACTTCAAGTCAATCAGGTGGACATAGTGTTTAGAGTAACTCTTTAAACGTTCTAGTCAATTAGTGCAACATACTCATTTTACTAATGCCAGTAGAAAACATATATTTCCAAGCCTCTGGCACCCAAAGTGTTAATCTTACTGAGGGTGCATTGCATTTTAGCATGGGACAGTCTATCTATATAAAGCCACTAAAGAAAGTGAACTCACAGGTATTTGATCAAGGGTAATCACTTATCCTTTAAGTTCTAACATAATGTTACCCATACCCTCATCACTGGAAAAAAGTGAAACACAACAGATTATTTAGGGAATACGTGAAGCTTGGAGCAAAAAGGAGCAAAAGAAATTACTAAAAAAGTAAAGAAGATTAAAGAGAAAAAAAAATCATCATAATAAACTATCACTTAATACATGCCGTGCATAGTGCCACATTGCCTGGTAAAGTGGGCATTGTACTCACAAAAGTGTAAAATTGGTGAAACAAATGAATTGCAGTTGAACAGCCACAAATTGGAGTATATCCATCATGCGGACATCTGCAAGCAGTATGATATCCGTTGCAGACACAATGCCTGGACGGACCTGCAACAGTTCAGTCTGTTGTGCTATTTACATTAGGATCCCTTAATGTGCTATCCCTTTGGGATCCTATGTCAGAATATATCCGACAAAATACTTTACCTCTTGCAGTCCAAGTCGGAATTTTCCTGGAGAATACCACCAATG